ACAAATATACACACACACATACATATATCTGTATATACACACATACGTATCCACACTATATATATCATATATAATATATACACCTGTATATTTACACACATACAAATACACACATATAATGCACATACATAAATATGCACACATATATACATAAATACACAAATATAAATATGTACATACATACACATATCTACACACACACCTACACATACGCAGACAAAATGTATATACAATTATGCATACGCACACACATACATACCCGTCTTAACAATCTGGCTGGAGTCTCGTAACATACTGGAACCTCCTCTTCCTGATTGTACTTTGCTACACTACCTCTCAGTTTGTAACCCCTTCATTGCAGATATTTTACTCCCATTTCCCTGCAGTGTTTATTCTCCACATGAGCCCCAACCCCTCTGGTCGCCTCTCCTACACCCTTCTATTCCCTTCTCCCTCATATACACATCGAGTTTCCCCTTAAATATGTTGATGCTTTTTTCCTTCAACCACAGGTACCGCTGCCTGTGGTGGGGATAACTGGGCACACACTGTGAACTGAGCCAGTCTCCTGCGGGGCTGATTGCTGTACCTTTACCCACCACTGACTGACCACAGTAACCTGAACATTGTGGGTTTATTTTTCCCTGTTTACAGAACAGGGTTTCTTTCAAATGTTATAAAAGGTGACTCGAATCTAACAGTGAAATAAACAGGGAACATAATAATAATAATCCTTGCGTGTGATATAGCGCCTTATCACACCGTCGAGACGTCTCAAAGCGCTTCACAGAGTATATTGTAAAGTGGATTGACTGTATTTTTTGTGCATGAAACACAGCAGTCAATTGCACACAGCAGTGTCCCCATAAGCAGTCGTGGATTGAGTGGCCACATTTTTTTTGAGGGTTTATAGACAGAGTTCATTTCAGCAAGAGTAAGAGAGACAGAAACGGAGAGACAGACACAGACGAGACACTCAATCTCACAGAAGATTTGCACCCACTGTTTTCACAGAAAATACTTTAACCTTTCATGATCATCTCAGAATATTATTTTATTTTAACGTGTAAACAGTGTTTTGGCTAAAGCAGGGATTAACCCTCCCCCCCCCCCCCCTCTATGATTGTCCCTTATGCTACAATAGAACCTCAAAGCTAAACTCTGATGTTACAGGCTGACCAGTCGAGTGAATGCACTAATACAGCAAAATATTGTATGCTATAGGTACTGAAATTTCCAGTGTTATCCTTAAAGAATGCACGCTCATTGCACCGTTCCCTATTTCTTGCTGTAAACTTAAACGTTGAAGGAAAACAGGAGCAGGAGAAGGCCATTCAGCCCATCGAGGCTGTTCCACCAGTTTATTAGATCTTAGCAGATCTTAGATTTACCCGTCCTTAATACCTCAACTACCCAAGTCTCTGAATATTTCTCTTTTAAACATTCTACCTCCATGACTTTCTGGGACAGGGCATTACACATTTTCACAACCCCTCTGAATAGACAAAGTTAATAATAATAATCCTTGCATTTGATATCACGCCTTTTCACGTTGTTGACACATCTCACAGAACATGTTGTAAAATGATTTGACTGTATGTTTTTTGGACAAAACACGGCAGCCAATTGCGCACAGCAATGTCCATCAAACAACTGTGGAGTGAGAGACATTTTTTTTTAGAGTGATTATTACCCCCGGAAAACGATCTGTCAATTGACTAACAACCAGGTCCCAACTTATTGGTGGGTAAACAGAGGTGTGTGGAGTAAGGAAACTTGCCTAAGGTTTCGCCCCACCCAGGAATCAAACTTGTGGACTCCATAAATGCTTCCTGACCTCAGTTCTAACAATAACAATAATAATCCTTGCAGCATAGCATTGTCGAGACTCTCAAAGTGCTTAACAGGATTTACTGTAAAGTGCAGTAACTGTGTATTCGGGGGGATTGTTGGCTACAGCTCTTGACTTTAAAGCTCTGCTCCCTTCTGAGGATTCCCTCTACTAAAGGGGAGAGCTGTCCACTATCTAACGTGTCATATCCTTTCATATTTGTAAGTGACTTAAATCAACCCCCTTGAGTTTGATTCAAGCGATAGCTGTGAAATAAAACATCGCCGAGCACAGTCGAAAACAAAGCTCTTTGAACAGAGCCAAGCACTGCTTCAAAAGGGAATGAAACAGACGCTTGCAAATATAAATATTAAAGGGTGAGGGGTGTGGGCGATGGCGGGGGAGTGAGCAGGAGAGTTGCTGTTGTTCACAAATTGGGTGCCACGTTCGCCCACAAAACACAGAGTCACTGACTGCATTTTACAGGAAATCCTGTGAAATCTTTTGAGACGTCCTCCCAATATGAAAGGTGCCAGCTAGACCAACTGTAAGGATTGTTGTTAACAGTAAAACTCACATAAGTCATATCAGTCGGGGCCATAACATTTAATATGTTCTATTAAATCATAAAAAATCCAATTTAATCAATGCTTCACATGCGTAATTCAATGCAGCCAGTATGTGCGCCATGTGGTGAACGGTCAAGACTATGTTCCTCGTGATTCAATTACCAGCAAGTGTTGGAATCCCATTGAATCGCAGGAAATGAAGTTCTTCTGCACATTTACGTAGATCAATACTATGATTCCCGCAATTCCATGCAGCCAGTAAGTGCGGGAGTAATGGAGATGAGGGGAGCAGCGTTACGAGACAGGAGATGTGGTTTTGATAGAAAACTGAATGGGACTCGGGTGAATGTACAACTAGGCAATTACACGATTTATAGAGATAAGACTTATGCGAGTTTTACTGTATTAACATTAGACTTGTCGGCTCTTGTGGAGACTGTGGCCAGCAGGGGGCAATGCTCTGCACGGTCTCAGGACCCTTTGTGGTGAGAAATATCTTTTTTGGATTCATTTTAAAGCAGCTCAGCTTTAATTCTAAACTTGCGTTCACAGCAAACGCACCTCAAACTTTTTTATACAGTCCTTTTCCTTTTACTAGGTAATCATAATATTTTTCAATAATAATAATATTCCTTGTATTTGATCTAGCCCTTTATCACATTATCAAAATGTCTCAAAAGCGCTTCACAGGATATACTGCAAAGTGCAGTGACAGTGTATTTGTAGGAAAAACGTGGCAGCTAATTTGCACACAGCAATGTGCCACAGACAGCCATGGAGTAAACAACCAATTTTATTTGGGGGATTGTTGGCAGGACACTGGGAAGAAACTCCCTTCTCTTTTCAAATAGTGTTATGGGATCTTTACTGTCCACCTGAACAGGCATCCCCCCCCCACACTGCACTCGAGTGTCAGCCAAGATTGTGATTTCAAAATCACTGATGTGGAGGCTTGAACCCACAACCTTCTGACTCTGAGGCGAGAGGGCGACTGAGTGAGCCAGGCTGACAGATATTTTCTTTGGGCAAAAAAACTTTATTCTCCTCGTGATCCTAACCCCCCCGTTCCCAAGACAATAGCAGCCTTTTCGTTTGTGGATGATGACCTGAGACCTACTTTCCTGTGGTATCCGTGGCAAAGCTCAGCCCTCGGGCAATTGCTCCCAGAGCTTTGCCGATACAGAGTGAATGTAGAGTCGTGGTGCGATGGTGAGAGGATGCAGGTTCGATTCCTGGGCAGGATGAACCCTTAGTTTCCTTATACCACACGCCTGTTTACCAAGCAGTAAGTAGGAACCCGGTTGTTAGTCGATTGGCTGATCGCCAATCCCTTATAAAAAAATTGGTCACTCAATCCACGACTGTTTGTGGGACACTGTTGTGTGTCACATTTCACCCACAAAATATACAGTCAATCCACTTTACAATATATTCTGTGAAGCACTTTGAGACGTCTCAACGATGTGATAAGGGGCTATATCAAATGCAAGGATTATTATTATGTTTGAGTAGGTTTGCCTCATTGGGGGGAAGTGGGGGGGCGGTGGGGGAAGAGGAAGAGAATCTTTTTAAAAAATAGTTAACTCTTTAATCTTTTCGGCTTTTCGAAACCTTTTCCACTCGGCTCCCGGATCCCAGGACTTTCCGCACTGAGCGTGCTCAGTCACGTCCATGTGGGATCATTTCGCTTCAGAAAACGCCCAAAAAACTCCCCACCCATCCCCGCAAATCCATGGAACATGATTGTCACACCTTAATGCCAGCTGCCCAACCCCGTCTCTGACTTTCTCTATAGGGTTTTTCATCTGAATATAAATAATAATTTACTACTTTCATTATACAAGAGCTGGCTTGACAAGCGGCAGTTACTTTTCCCAGCGTTTTCTGAACTTCTCCAACTCCCTCTCCCCACCCTCTCTATCTCCTCCTCCCTCCATCCCCTCTCTATCATTCCTCTCTCCCCCCTCTCTTTTCCCCCCTCTCTCCCTCTTCCTCTTTTCTCCCAACCTCCCTTTCTCTCTCTCCCTCCCTCTCTCCCTCCCTCTCTCCTGGGAATGTTTGCTCCGAAAGGGTTTAAGGGCTTTGGTGACAGTGCAGGGTTCTTGTTTTTGCAATTTATTTTGTTTTGAGACGGTCCCTTACCCATTCTCAATGGTTTGGAGGTGGCTGTTTTGTGCCATTGAACATGCGTAAGAATTGCTGGATAAAAGAAGACCAGTTCGTCTTCCACCAACATGCCAGTCGCGTGCACATGCTATGTCCCAAATTGTTGTAATGTTATTGCAAAAGCCCCCCATTCTCTTCTGACTTTTCCTCCCCTTCTCCTTCCCTCCCTCGCCTTCTCCCAAGCTCCCCTCACCCCATTCCAACCTACCCGGTTAACACCCTCCATTATCTTTCCCTCACCCACCCCTATTTCTGAGCGATATCCCCTCCCTCCCGCCCTACCACTCCGCCCTGAGGTTCAATCTTAATGTTCCCCTTCAAATAAAAGCTTTTAAAATGTTCTTTATAACCCTCAAAAAAAAGGGAGAGGGCAGCGGCATAATTTAAAAAAATAACAACCCACGAAAGACACGAACGTGTGGGGTGGGACATAAAAGACATGATGGGTCTGGCTTCCTCATGTAGTTTTCTGGTCCACAAAACACCAAAGGTCGATCGCTGTGCATCCCCTCTGCTGAATAACCTTGGGTGGCTTCATCCAGGTATGTTCGCCCCCTTCCTAACCCCTCCCACCTCCCAGTTCCAAGCGATATTATCAATAGCCGAGCAAAGTCCAGCGGTCAGTCAATGTCTGTCCAGCCCCATCCCCTTCCCTTGCTGTCCCGTTCCTGGCCAGGGTGATCCCCTGTTTATTTTTTTACAAGGATTCCTTCTCCTTCTGCAAGCACCTGCTCAGCTTCATCTCTGTCAGCTGGATGTATCTGATCACGTTCGTGTCTGCGTTTAAAAGAGAGAGAAAGGGACAGATGAGAAGCATTCAGTCTTCCGAGAAGACATCTTATAGGTGTATAACATCTTAAATGAGATTGAAACAGTAAACCCCGATCAACACTTTAGGATGCACCGAGACAGTAGAACAAGAGGATATGGGTTTAAAGGGTAATTTCAGGACAGATTCTGGGCAGTTTTTCTTTACACGGAGAGTAAATAATGACTGGAACAGGTTGACAGGAAGGGTGGTTGAGGTCAGGACACTGGGACTCGTTAAAAAAAAGTGATGCTGTGATGTGGGGGAATGGTAGAGTGGGAGATCAGATGGATCAAAGGGCTTTCTTCATCCAAACCAATCTTGTGAAGTTCTGGCCAACGTATAAAATAATCTCTTTTAATGGGAGAGTTAATTGGTTCCTTCGGAAACAAGGCTGTACTGTTGCCTTCTTAGGGTAACCACAGTAACCGTCATAGCAATGCCTGCACTGCAGACACTCAGTGAGTAATGCAGGTGTGACTCAGGCAATTCCAGAAACGAGCACCGGGTGTAACTCCTGCTCAGTGTGAGGTGCCAGCTGACTGTTAGGAGTGCTCTGTTCACATGCTGACCTTTTTAAGTGATGAGCTTAAGTGGTGGAACAAGGGCTCAATGATGTATCAGCCTGGTTCACTTGGCTGCACTTTCTCCTTCGAGTCAGAAGGTTGTGGGTCGAAAACCCTTGGCGGGAACTAGAATTCATTTAGCCTAAGCTGACAATTCAATGCAGAGCTGGGGGATGTTGCATTGTTCTTCAGATGAGACATTAAACCGAGGTCCCAGCTGTCATTCACTTCACAGCTGTTTGTGGGACATCACTTCGTGCCAATTGTTTGCTGCGTTCGCCTACAAAATACACAGTCACGACACTTTAGAATAAATTCTGGACCCAGAACAGCTCATAGTAAAAATAACTCAGTGGTTCACTGGCTAAAGTACAAGTCCTGCCTTATCAGTGAAGGTAGCCCAGTGAGGGGCTCAGTAGGTCAATCATTTCCTTCCCCAGTGCTGACAGTCTACCAATACATTGGTTTAGAATTAAAGGGGAGGTAGAAACATACTTGGCAGTCTCAGAGTCTTCCGGCCCCTTCTCCCTTTCCAAGCACAGAGTCAAATACTGCCCTGATTGATTGACATTATAATAACCCATGCATTTGATACAGCTCCTATAATATCAAACATCTCAAGGAGCTGCACAGTGGCTTGCTGTCAAATACAGTGACTGTGTATTTTGTAGGTGAATGTGGCAGCCAATTTTCACATAGCAATTTCCCATAAACAGTCATGAAGTGAATGACCACTTTGCCGTCTCCCTCACCAAAGTGTATTCATTTGTAATACCTTGTGTATTATTGTATCGGTGTGGTGCACATGAGTGCGTGTATGTGTGTGCTTGTAAGTGTGTAAGTATGAGTGTGTTTGAGTGTGTCACTGAGTATATGTATGTGTGTGTTTGCTTGTGTCTATATGACTGTATGAAAATATGTAGTGTCCTTGTGTGTGTATATTTTGCGTATATGCATATGTTGTATGTGTTTGTATGCACACTGTGTTTGGTAGTCAAATGAAAGAGTTTATTTTGAAAAAGGAAACAGATGTTTTTTTAATATATAAAAANGGACCAAATGAGAAGTAGAATCGGCTTGTCTGGGAGGGACTTGGGTCTGTGATTCAGCAGATTGGATTCATTGACGCTGCCGTTCACAGGATGTGATTATTTCTTCCTGTTCTGACCTCGATGACCTTATCAAACGATACCTTCACCAGAGGAGGAGAAACAGTCAGGATAGAGTTCCACCTGGTCCACATTTCCTCTATTTGAATCACATTATGCCCACAAAATATACAGTCAATTCACTTTACAGTATATTCTGTAAAGTGCTTTGAAACATCTCGAAGACGTGATCAGGCACTATATAAAATGCAAGGACTATTATTATTCTAGAGCATCCAAAATTCACCTACAAAATACACAGTCACTACACTTTGCACTGAATCTTGTGAAGAGGTCTGAGATGTTCTGCTGGCATGATAAGGCGCTGTATCAAATGCAAGGATGGCTGTTATTAAGTTCTTCTGAGAGCTACAGAAAGACAGCTTGAGAACTAAAACTGATTTCAGCAGTTTGCCAAAATCTGCCAACTCACAAATGCTACATAAATAGAGTAAATCTATAAAAATAAATTGCAGTTATATAATGCCTTTCATGTCGAGAGGACATCCCGAGGCATTGGATGAAAATGGCTATCTAGACCCAGGTGTATTAATAATAATCCTTAAGTTTATATAGCGCCTTTCACATTGATTGGATGTCCTAAAGCTCTTCTTCCTTTAAATTTAGTGCTGTAAATTTCTATGGTTCTACGTTTCTTTACCCAGGGGGCTAATTAATGACTGGAACAGGTTGCCAGGAAAGGGGGCTGAGGGGGAATGAGGTCACTTCAGCATCCTGTTAGCCTCATTTGTTTAAACATAGCTTGACGTTACAGTACAGTGGAGGGTAGAAGCAGAAAGTGTGGATTCATTCAAGTACAAATGAGATGATAATAATAATCCTTGTAATAATAATAATAACACTAATAGTAATCCTTGCATTTGTTACAGCACCTTATCACATCTTCTAGATGTCTCAAAGTGCTTTACAGAATATACTGTAATGTGAATTGACTGTATATTTTTTGCAGGCGAAAATTGATTTCTTTTAGAAAATATGTTGGGATATAGTATATGAGTAATTTGAGACATGACATATAGTAAGTGTAGTCGCTTGGAAGAACCAGGCAACTTTGGATCTAAGGTTCCCAAGCTTTCCACTCTGTTGTAGATGACTCCATACAGAATTAATTGCTATCAATATCTCCATTTTTGGAGCATGTGACTACCAGGATGGTAGAAGGCGGGTTAGATGGAAATTGGTCTTTTTTCATCCAGTAATTCCTATGTTCCTAATGTGAGTGTTGTGTCAGGATGCGATCAAATGGGCTGAAAGACCTTCCTCTCAAACTAGAGGAACAACTTTATCCAGAGGGAAGTGAGAATGTGGAATGTGGAAGGGGCGGTTAAATCAGAGGCAGAATTAGACAGTACAGATACATTTAAGAGGAAGCTAGACATTCACACAACAATAATAATAATAATCCTTGTGCTTTATCATGTTATTGAGATGTCTCAAAGCGCTTCACAGAATATACTGTAAAGTGTAGACTGCATATTTTGTGCACAAAACATGAAGGAGAAGGGAATAGAAGGATATGGGATTGAGTAAGGAGTGGGTGCAAACTCATATGGAGTATAAACACCAGCACGGACTGGTTGGGTTGAATGGCCTGTTTCTATGTTGTAAATCTATCGTTGCAGTTTCTCCCAATGTCCTGGCCAACACTCCCTTAAATAAAATTGGGGCATTCACTTCGTGGCTGTTTGTGGGACATTAGTGTGCAAATTGGTTGCCACTTTCACCCAAAAAACACACAGTCACTCCACTTGACAGTATATCCTGTGAAACGCTTTGAGATGTCCTCCCATTGGGAAACAAATGCTATTACAAACGGAAGGATTATTCTCGTTGTTTTGGTGAAAGCTTGTGAAATGAATGCAGTGATTCCAGTTTTGTTTGTTTGGGGATTAATTTGTACTATTTAACAAAAAGCAAGAAGCAAATAAAAAGAGAGATTATTTTTCAATGGTTTACATGACTATAAAATGTTAGTGCTAATCCGTACCATACTTATCCTATCAAATGGCTGTAGGGCTGCCAGCCAGGGAGATCACAGAGAGACACATGTTTATACTGTGAACAGGGTATCCACCACTTGCTCCTGGAGTTGTTCCTGTATAAATATGCAGGTGGGCCAGATGATGAGTTTATTCCCTAAACACTCAGCACATGACAGCTATTGCCAATAGCACAGGTTGAACCGGAGGATGTGAGGACTGAAGGTGTGACAACTGACATAAACCAACAGACTAAACGGGAGCTGTGCATTGTCAGAGGTGCCGTCCATTGGTAGCACTCTCACCTCTGAGTCAGAAGGTTGTGGGTTCAAGCCGCAGTTCGGGATTTGGAACTCACGTAGTCTAGGCTGACACTCTAATGCAGTGCTGGGGGAATGTTGCATCGTCAGAGGTGCCGTCCTTCGGATGATACGTTAAACCGAGGTCCTGTCTGCCTAGTCAGGTGAATGTTAAAGATCCCATGGCACTGTTCAAAAAGAGAAGGGAATTTCTCCTGGTGTTGTGGCCACCAATCCCTTATAATAAAATTGATCATTCACTTCATGGGAACTTTGTGGAATATTACTGTGTGCAAATTGGCAGCCGTGTTCGCCTACAAAGAACACAGTCACTACACTTTCCAGTATACACTGTGAAGAGCATCCAGAATTTAGCATATTTTCAAATTCAGTCTCAACTCAGTCTCAAGGAAATTGGAGAAATCGAGAAGATACAGAGGAGGGCAACCAAAATGATTGAGGGAATGGAGGGACTGAACTATGAGGAGCGACTAAGTAAATTGGGCATGTTCACGCTGGAAAAGAGAAGATTGAGAGGGGACATGATTGCTGTCTTTAAGATTCTAAAGGGGCTAGACAATATAGATCATGACAGACTGTTTCGATCTGTCCACAATAGTAAAACCAGAGGAAACAGCCTGTGATTGAAGGGGAGTAAATTCAGAACGAATCTACGCAAACACTATTTCAGTGAGCGAATAGTGAACCTGTGGAACAGGCTCCCTAGGGAGACGGATGAAGCAGGAAATGTTGATTCTTTCAAACACAGATTTGATAGTTTTTTTAGGAAATAACATTATGGGATACAGTACATAGGTAGTTTGGGACATATGTTTATGCAACTGCCAGGAAGGTAGAAGGCGAACGAGATGAACCTTGGTCTTTTCTCGTCCAGCATTTCTTATGTTATGTAACTTTGAACCTAGTTTTCCATAGTTCCTAAAAGGATCTAGAGAAATCTGCTCCGAAATGAAATCTGCACTTTCTGAAAGGCTGAGAAAACAGAGTAAATCTGAAATGAGCCAGAGTTTCTTGCCCCACTCCCCACCTCCACATACTCTTCCCCGAAGGTTATTTCTTTACATTTATTCCTGATGTGCTTTGCCTATGCTCGGTCTCCAAGCACAATTAGATCAAGGAATAATACTGCTTTTAGCAGCTGGAGCGTGAATGTTCAACTCACAGCACTGACGGTGCTCTACAGCTCACTGATCGCTCGATATGTTTTCCTCTGGGATCCGGTGTGAAGTATCGCGCTGACTCAATCTCAGCTCATTTATTTGTGGCAAAGTCACAGGTGATCCAAGCCTGAAGGTACAGCCTGAGCCCAACACACGTGTTCAACGATCTGGATAACGTGTGATCCAATGATTTGGACCACACATGCCCAACGTGAGGGTGAAGCATGGCGGAGGGGAGGGGAGGGAAACGAATGACAGGAGCCCGACATTAGTAATGTTTGCTTTGTGTCATCATTACATTTTCAAATGCGAGTTAATGTGCATTAAACACAATCAAAGATGACTGACAGAGGTGTGACATCCTGCTGTGAGGAATGAATGCACGCTCAGTAATAACGTAAAAGCTTGTGAGTTGCTGATGAGATGCAGCCTATGTGTTTGTGAACAACAAGCATTGATAACTACCTGAACGCTGGCATTCCTCCGGGAGATCTCAGTGGGTGGGCACTGTTTGAGGGCAGAGGCAGAGGCCACGAATCTTGAGAGGTGAACGAGACAGCCAATTTATGCAGTGTCCCACAAACAGCCATGAAGCAAGTGACGGATTTTATTTGGGAGACTGTAGGCCAGGACACTGGGAGAATCTCCCTTCTCTTTTCTAATAGTGCTGTGGGATCTTTAACATCCACCTCGTAGATCAGTGGACGTTAAAGATTCCATTGCACTATAGGATTTTGCCAGACGGGGTCTCAGTTTAATGTCTCATACCCCTGGACCGCATTGGAGTGACTGCTTAGACTATATGAGTTCCAAGTCCTGACCTGTGGGGCTTGAAACCACAACCTTCTGACTTAATAGCTGATTGTAAGTAACCATAGTGTATGTGTGACCGTGTCATCTGTGCATCCGACACGGTGGAAGGTTGCTCACCTGTTGGCTGGCGATCCCTCGCTTCCTTCAGGTAATGTAAAGCTTTATCGTAATCTCCGAGATGATAGTAAGCCACACCAGAGCGGTATAGAGCCTTGAAATTATCCCTCTCCTTTTTCAGCACTTTGAGACAATATTCTTTCACTCGCTCATAGTTCACTAGTTCTGCTTGTAGTAAGCAAGCTGTCGAGAAAGGGGAGGGAAAAGGATAGGTTCAGATCATACGTAATAATAATACACTGAATTTTGTAGCATTGGTGGTTAGCGCACTCACCACGCAAGCGAGAGGACCCGGGCGGTCCGAAACCTCAGGCAAGTTTGCTTACTCCACATGGCTGTGTTTACTAAGCAGTAAGCGGAATCTGTTAGTCGATTGGTGGATCACTTTTCAGGGGTTAAAAATCCCTTTCCCCACCAAAACAAATTGGTCATTCAATCCACGACTGTTGTTGGGACACTGCTGTGCTCAATCAGCTGCTGCGTTTCGCCCACAAAATATACAGCCAATCAACAGCAATATTTGCATTTATATAGTGCCCTTCACACAGGGTAGCGTCCCTCCTCAGGTTGGATGCCCAGCCATCGTTTTGAACTGTCCTCCCGACATGAAAGGTGCTGCTGTATAATTGTAAATTGTGTCTCAAAGCGACCAGAATTTGGCAGATTCCTAAACCGCAGCTGTGTTTTTCTTGCGCTCGAGAACGGTGGAAAACAACAGGCTTCAAAGTTGGGACAGAATTCTACGATTCGGCGAAAATGCACACACTCGAAAATGTTAAGAAAGTAAATCCAGACGCAGGTGTGATTGTTCCTCCCCGTTCCCTCCCACCCTCCTGGATTGGAGCCTCCCCCTCCCCCCCAGCTCGGGGTTGTGCTCCGCCACTGTGAACTGCTCTTGGACACTACCCAGTGTGAGGGGCGCTACATAAATACAAGTTGCTGCTGTTGGTGTAGCCTCTGAGTTCAGCTAACGCAGCACAGAGCAGAGCGCAAGTCAACGACCTTCCTATTTTCTCCGTCTAGCTCTCTCTCTTTTTCTCCCTCTCTCTCACTCACTGAGCCTGTGGAGAAGGCGAGAGAGTTATTTTTACATTACCCTTCAGCTGACAGGAAAGAAGCCAGACTGAGCCCAGACGGGTATTTTTCCCATTGTCCGTAAAGTGCTGGAAAAAGGGATGGGGCGGCTGCCAAAATGGAACCGCGTGTTAAAAGGCTCTTCATTAACTTGTGTTACACTGTCATTTATTCAGTCTATTGCCCTGCCATTCACAATTATGAACAATTCTTACATCTTGGATCACCCTCCGTTCTACAGAAAGACTCTTTTTTGGAAGACACAACAAGAGCAGCTGGAACAGGCTGAGGCTGGCCTCTCCAGTGCCCTGTTAATGGGCCATTTCACTAAGTCCACTAAGTGACCCTAGGTTTTTGTGCTGTATTTTAGCCAGGATAGAGTTGGTCTGAGGACTGCCTAACATGCAGTCAGTGCTCAAACACCCATATGTATGTGTAGCTTGTCTCAAGGCCTTAGTCTTCGATCGTGCTTTCGGCCAACCTCCCACCCCCACCCCACTTCTCTTGATTCCAACCCCCAACTCGGGTGCAAACCCTTAACGGGCCAGCGCTATGGGACGTCCTCCCAAAGTGAAAGGCACTGCTATATAAATGTAATTTTGTTGTTGTTGTATACGTGTAAGTGGATGTGTGTGAGTGCATGAGTGGTCGTGAGCATGTGTGTGGCTTCATGAGTTTGTAATCATGTCTAAGAGGAAGGACAGGAGATCACACCTTCAATTTCAGGACAGACACTGGGGACCATTCCTGTACCCTGAGGATAATTAACAACTCAAAATGGTTGCCAGGAAGATTGGTTGAGGCAAGGACTCTGGACTCATTTAAAACACAGCTCGATGCAGTGAAAGGGGAAAGTAGGGTTGGTGTTCTGGAATGATGAGATTAAATGGGCTGAAGCCTTATGATAAAATGAGGTTTGTCAGCCTGGCTCAATTGGTAGCGCTCTCGCCTCTGAGGCAGAAGGTTGTGGGTTCAAGCCCCACATCAGGACTTGGAACCCATGTAGTCCATAATGACATTCCAGTATAATGCTGGGGATACGCTGCGTTGTGCCTTCCTTCAGATGAGACGTTAAACCGAGGTCCCATCTGCCTGTCCAGGCGGATGTTAACAATCCTGTGGCACTGTTCAAAAAGAGAAGGGAGTTTCTCCCAATGTCCTGGTCAACAATCACCCAGATAAAATTAAGACACTCACTTCATGGCTGTTTGTCACCTACAAATGCACGTTGCATTTCACAGAAAATGCTACTGCATTTGCCCACAAAATACAGAGTCCCTACACTTTACAGTGAAGCGCTTTGAGATACTGTCCCAGTGTGAAAGGTGCTATATCGAATGCAAAGATTATTATTATTATTTTACTAATGGAGCTGAGTTGGTAGATTTCCAGCAGGATTCCTTAAGAAGGAATTTCTTTGATAAAACCTGAATTTTAGGACCAGGACTTTTCTTCCCCTAATAGTTCCCCGGATTTGGAAATGATAATAATACTAAGCCTAACTTTGATATAGTGGCTTATCACCCCTTTAACACGTCTCAAAGCGCTTCGCAGAATATATTGTAAAATGGATTGACTGTGTATTTTAAATGTGTTAAAGAGAGAGTGACTGGAAGACAGTCACTGAGCCCAAGATTGTTTGTGAGTGGAGCTGAGTTTATAACCCAGAGAGAGAGAGATGCAGTATTCAGTGCACAGCGCTTCACTAAATGTGCCATTTAAGGTGCCCGTGTTAATCCATCTACCTCGCACTAATAAGCTTGGAGATGCCTCCCAGCCTGTAAAATATACAGTCAATCCACTTTACAATATATTCTGTGAAGAGCTTTGAGCTTTGAGACATCCACCCTGAACCTGCACCCTCTTGTCCTTGTTCCTTAACAGCTATGAATGTATTGATCTGCTTTTACTGTCTCAGTTCCATTATGATATATCTCTATAAGGTTCCCTGCGAGACCTGGAGAGTTCCAGTTATCTTGTTGGTCATCCTTCTGACACTATAGGGACCAGGTGCCAGTCTGGCTGAGTTAATAGCACTCTCACCTCGGAAGCAGAAGGTTGTTGGTTCATGCCTAACATCAGGACTTTGAATTCATATACAGTAAATCTCACATAAGTCGTATCAGTTGGGGCCATATATTTTTTACGACTTATGCAAAGTATGAGTTATGTCAAACTTACATAAATTATACAAAATTTAATGGGACTTGGTCAGATGATAAATTTAGGGGATTATACGATGCATAGAGATCAGACTTATGCGAGTTTTACTGTACTCTAGGCTGGTGCTCAAGGGCAGTGCTGGGGAGTACATGATATTCAGAGGTGCCGTCCTTCAGATGAGTCATTAAACCAAGGTCCTGTCTGCCTGTTCAGGTGGACATTAAAGATTCCATGGTTTAAAAAGATTTAAAAAGAGAAGGGTATCCTAGCCAACAATCTCCAAAGATTAAGTTGGTCACTCACTTCATGGCTGTTTGTGGTACATCGTTGTGTGCAAATTGTTTGCCATGGATCTTTAACATCTACCTGAACAGGCAGATGGGACCTCATTTTAACATCTCATCTGAAGATAGCAGCTGTCCCCCAGCACTGCACTGGAGTGTCATCTAGAGTGAGCTTCAAGTCCTGATGTGGGGCTTGAACCCATCACTTCTGACTCAGAGGCAAGAGTGCGAGAGTTACCAACTGAGCCAAGCTGACAGACCAAAGATTGTAAATAAGCTTTTATCATCTTAAATTTCAAGACAAGATGGGCCTCACATTCTAGGTGATACTAGGTGGTATTTCGAGCCCACAGATCTGCCAAAGTAGCCCACCAATGGAGACCAACCTCACTGTTGCTGCTCAAAATTGTGTTGTTTCTATGCATTACAAGTGCTGGGCACTTACAGGAACACCATTATATACTTAACAAATGGACATTGAGCTGCACTGATTGAATAGCAGGGGAGGGTGAGCTGCTTGCTTTTAACATCCACGCTTCAACAAGGCAAGCACTTGGCAGGTGCGTACTTAAGTGGCACAGGCACCAATCCAGGGAATAACAATCATTCAGCTGGCCAAGTAATTCAGTGTTGAAATTAATGCTACAAGAAGCTGTCTGCAATCGTACAAAAGACCGCGTAATTGCTATTGGGGCTGAATATCATTAAGTAACCTGAGATTGGGAACCATTTTCCTCCACACAAAGGGCTCCTCGCACGGATTTACTGCATTTTCAACTGAACTCGAGACGTCGCCTGAGCCTGTGCTGAAATTGGCTTTAAGACCTTCAATTTTTTTCCCTCGCATTAGCTATAGCCCCTTATTACGTCATTGAGAGGTCTCCAAGAGCTTCACAGAATATACTGTTAGAATGAATTGACTGGGTATTTTGAGGGTGAAATGCGGCAGTGTCCCACAAGTCGTGATTATTATTATTATTATTATTTTTTGAAAGGATTATTACCCCAGGAAAATGATCTGCCAATTGACTAACGACTCTGTTCCTACTTACTGCTGGATAAACAGAGGCCTGTGGAGTAAGTAAACTTGCCTCAGGGTTTCGCCCTGCCCCGGAATCGAAGCTGGAAGTTCTCGCTTGCAAGGCAAACCCGCTAACCACTACCCTATGGGACCCCACACTATTAATATTTAAATATTAACATTTTTGCTGATGTTATCCATCCCCTGGAGTGAAGGCAATTCACCTATGGGTGTGAGCTTTAAAATACAAAAAAAACTATCTGCAGTTTAACTTAAAGGGAATTTCAGGACACTTTCTGAATGGCTGCCCTCAATTTCCATGGAAACATCTAGGATGTGCAACAAGGCTTTGAAGTGTTAGTCGGGTATTAAAGTTGCGATGCTTATGTTCTCGGTTTGTTATTATCTGTTGCTCTGTTCCCGACGGTTGCTATCTGGGACTCTCAACTGTGGACTCCCATCGTCAAATGACCAGAATTGGTTGGAACCATATATTGTAATCGTCCTTGCATTTGATACAGCACCTTATCACGGTGTTGAGACGTCTCAAAAACTCTTCGAGGGATTGTACTGTAAAGTGTGGTGACTGCGTATGTCGTAGGCAAACACAGCATCAAATTCGCGTACAGCAATGTCCAACA